AATAGATTTTCAGGCAATCCTAAAAATATTTTACACCAAAATTACATCCTATTATAAAATTTGGAGGTGCGCCTTAATTGGATTGTTTAAGGTTGCAACCTCATGCAAACACACCCTTTTTTTATGCTTAAAAGACTGCTTTTTGATGCAGTTCACGGACCATGGTGTTGAAGGAGTTGTGCCACCAGAACTTCTGCCACCTGATATACGATCAAAGTATCATGCTAAAGCTGGTGACAAGTCTAAACGAGCTAAGAAGGAGGAGGAAGTAAAGGGCAATGCCCCACTAGTTGAGGACAACCAGGTAATAATGCATCATTGCATCTTCACCTTTTTATGTGGATTTTTTTCTGGTATGTTAAGTGCCTATCTGTTTGTTAAGGAGGATGTTAAAGCAACTCTAATTCATAGAGCTAGATTTTGTAAATATTCCTGATGCATTTGATCATGAAAACATGGCTAACAGGCAAAACAACTTTAGGTAATTGTACCACTGTTTTTTTTTTTCCCTTGAAAAAAATGCAAAACAACTGAATGTTGCCCTCCAAATTGCATTAACTTTATTGCAGGCAAACATTTTGGAATTATTTGCTCATAGTGCAATTTAAGAAGTAAATTTTTTTCTTTGAAAAAAAATGCAAAACAACTAAATGTTGGCCTCCAAATTGCATTAACTTTATTTCAGACAAATATTTTGTAATTAATTGCTCATATTACAATTTAAGAAGTAATTTTGGTTTTCCAAGAGGACTTTCTGGCAATAAAGGGGTGATCCTCCCCAAAGAAATGAATTTCTAAATGCGTAATCATCCTCTCGCTTTTTAACATGACTAATCAACTTCCTGTGAATCAATCTGGTTTCAAAAAGAGAAAAAAGAAGCTGGTTCTTTCCATCGCATGGAGGTTAAATGATTATTTTCATGAGTGTCAAAATCTACTGTCGCTCCTGTTGCATACAACCTTATTATGAACCCACGTAGTTTATCTCAGATTTCTCCTTATTGCTTATTTCATTTGACCCAAAACAACAGATTATCAATTTATCATTAGTGATTTGATTATTCTTTTTCTCCTGTTTCTTTTTGTGAGTGGTCCATCTATTTTTCTTTTGTTTCCTTGTTATCAAATTAATTTTGCAATGATTTTCTTCACTCTCCTATAGCTAACGACATAGTGCCTATTTCCCCCCCTCTTTCCTGCCTAAAAAGAATGCTGGTGCCACAACTGAGCTAGAGGGAAGTGGCAGTGGTGCTGAGCTGGAAGACTCTGCAGCCCCAATGGACACCGATGTGGGCGCAGTGGGTGCAACAAATAGTGGCGGTCCATCACCCGATGAGGCTCAAAAGCAGAGCCCAGATGATGAAGTGGGTCAAGAGGTGGTTCAACCGATACTTGATTCTGAGCCTGAGCCTGAGCTCGATGCTGAAGGCAAGCCCGAACAAATGCTTGAGCCTGAATTACCCAAACCCGCCACTATAGATTTGCAGGATGGAGTTGAGGAGAGTCCTCAAGAGCCGATTGCTCCCTCTAATTAAGGTTAGCTTCTCAGCACAAGAGTTTATTGCTCCTATTCAAAGGTGAACTTGCAAGAGGAATGAAAGGGAAGAGAAACTGTTTTAGGCATTCCAGGGTGGGAAAGAGAAAATTAAGAAAAACAGAGGTAACTGGAGTAAGGCACTTTAGGAATGGACCAAATTTTCGAAGTGCACACTATGTGGATCTTAATTTGTGTCGGAGCTGGACACCAAGTTCTATGAATGGTCCAGTTTTTATGATGGGATTATTTTCTGGATGGGGCTTGGGCATATTCCCACATTTGGATTTGAAAAGTATTGAGAGGTCTTCTTGCAGGGGCTTCTAGAAAACGTAATGGTTGGATTGTCCCTCAAGGAGTGGTAAGGTGCTATTGACTCAGTGGGGATCTGGTAAATGTTGTGAGATATTTTTTCATATAAATTATTGTGGATTATTCAGAGAGTATTGCAAGTGACTTTATTTATTTTTTTTACTTTAAAATCTCAGTTCTTCTGGTTAATTATGTGGCACTGAGAAGTTTAATCTGGACATGTGACGGGTGTTCCTCAAACTCCTATATTCTTTTTTAGAGTAAATTAATAGAATTTTGTATTAGGGATTTATATTTTATTAAAAATGTATTCCTATTATCCCCTAAAGTTAACTTGTGACCGTATCCTGCATCTATGAATTAGTTACCCAACTCTCTATAGCTAATCTACTAGCTACGGTTTTAACTAAAATATGAGTTTTTGTATTAATATTAAGTAAACTAATAATTAAAACAGTACAATGTATCATGAGGACAAGAAGTGTCGTCTCGTATATCCCTCATGTTTCCGGTAGCAACAACCATCGATGCTTGATTTTTGAGCCTGAGCTTAATTGCTTATTTTTCCATTGGGAATTGGTTTTATATAAATTGGGTCTATTTACGTCTAGTATAAGGAGGTCATAATTACTTTCAACTATCCAATGTGAAATCTGATGGCTTCGATGTGTCATAAAATTTGAGAAAATTTCTTTTAGAATTTGAGTTTGATTAATGAAATAAATGCAACTACCTAATTTCATGTCCAATAGTAAAGATTAATTGTGACTATTTATACTAAAAATAAATAATCTTTTTATATATTTTTCCATTATACTATCTACTTTTCTCTCTCTCTCACATACGCACACATGCGCGTACGTAGGCTACAGAATGACTTTCTGAAATTGGTAATGTGCATTCCACCCTGTTTTAACAAATGAACTATTTCTAGTTGCATCAGTCCCGTGTTTACATCTCCATATGTAATCATTTTCAATGCAGTCTAATTGTTTTGGAGTACAAAAAAATTTCATAGTCATTGCACAAGGGGAGGCCACAAAAGATTTTCAAACCTGGGTACCAATGAAATAAAAAATACCAAACTGATGTCATATAGACCATTCATTATTCTCAGTTTAGATATCTACATTTTGTGCCGTCCATATAGTTTGAAACTACAGGGAAAAATAAATGAAACAAATAACAATAGTGTGAGAAACTAATCCTATCTAACCTGCCAAAAACAAATGTCTGAAAATAGATAGAAAAAAAATACAACAGTAAATGAGTTCTGCCTGATACTAGCTGCAAAATTATCTGTTTTCGCCTACTGCCTTTTTCAGCAAATATAGAATACTTCTTTCAAATGCAAGCTTTCTAAATCACATTACCATCCGGTTCAATGGCCGATCTCAATCCACTACAAATCCTCATCAGAGCGTAATGCTCGGCGTGCTTGATATTGCATATTAATCAATAATTAATTAAACTTTTAACAATAAAATAATAGTACTAGTTAATTATCATCATTTTAATAATAAAATTGTTGTAAATAATAAAATTATAATTTGGATAGACTTGTAATTACATAAGTAATTATTATATTAACTACATTATTAAATATTTTTTTATTATTAAATTGGTATAATATAAAAGACCTGGTTTCTATGCGGCAAAACCTGCATATGTAGAAATACGGGCCTCTTAATAAATTTAATTTTGAGATGGATTTTAAGGCTTAATTTTTAAGGACATGTAATATCTATCATGGAGATCATGAATATGAAAAAATAAATAAAAGTCATATATTTCTCTTTATCCAATCGTCTCTTATGAATGGAGGGATAAGATTGCCCCAATCACAATGTCACGTCTCTACACGATTTTATTTTTAATTTTTTCTATAAACAGTTTTAACACCAAAATTTGGACGTTCAATCCTCTATTAAACTCACACTAGTAAAAAATATAAAAAAAAATATTTTTAATAAAATAAAATGACCAAAATATCTCTGAAAGATTCAAAAGGTATTTTGGTCACTATATTTTATCAAAAATTATTTTTAACATTTTTTATAAGTGCGCTCCAATGAGAAGATGACACGTACTAAATTTTATATTTAAAAAATTTGTAAAAAAAAACTAAAAATAAAATAATTTGAGGTGCCGGATCTAAAATCAAACGATAAATAGCTCTCTTGATCAAATTGAACGGTTGGATAGTAGAAAAAGCATAGACCTTCTAAACTGCAGGGGAAGTATAAAAACCTCTCCCTCTTTTTTTTTAAGATGGATGCTATACACTTTCTAGACCGCCTATGTAGAAATGCGGTCGAGCCCGTATGAAACAATTTTTCTAATAGAAAATATAACTTCAAATAAAGGTAAGTAGATTTATATGGGATTGTCTACAAAGATACCATTTATCTTTTATACATGGATGTCACAATTATTTTCACTCAAATTAGATGATTTGGGGTGAGTCATGAAGTTGGAGAATTTTTTTTTGGAACTTTATGTCTATTCAATGACTTTTTTACAACCACCTAGTTTGAAATTTTAAAAAAATAATAATTGTGATCTTCATGTAAAAAGAGATAAAAGATATGTTTGTGGAATGAGTGGCGTAGGAAAAAACAACTCTCATGAAAAATATCAATAATCACTTCAGGAACTCCGTTAGTTATTTTGATATTGTGATATGGGTGACTGTGTCTGCCCATCCGGACCTCAAAAAAGTGAGGAGGATGATCTGGGAGAGGTTGGGTTTGCCTTATGGCGATGATCATACTGAGGATATGGAGAGCCATATATTGTTTGATATCCTAAAGAGGAAAGAGTTTCTGCTCATCTTAGATGACCTGTGGGACAGGGACAGGTTCGATATAAAAGAAATAGGAATTCCTCGACCAAAGAATGGGAGTAAGATTGCGATAACAACACAAAATGGAGATGTATGCAGCGATATGGGGGCCGACTCCACAGTGGAGGTAAAGAAATTGTCAGAGGATGAATCATGGGAATTGTTCTGTGCGAAAGCAGGTCCTCATGTCGCCTCCCCAACAATAGAACCCTATGCCAGGCCTCTTCTCAAAAAGTGCGATGGCTTGCCTCTTGCCATCGTCGTCTCTGGAAGAACCATGAGAGGTATACAATCAATAGGGGAATGGGAGTACGCAAAATGGGCACTGGGGCATTCTCCATCAGATATGGCAGGTATGAATGACGAGCTATTTCGCGTCTTGAAGTTTAGTTACGACAGGCTAGAAAATGCTTCCCCTTAAATCCTTGTTCTTGTACTGTGCTTTGTTACCTGAAGATTATTTAATAGGGGAATATGAGCTTGTGAATTATTGTATAGAAAAAGGATTATTAGATGGGCGAGATAGTCTCAATGAGGCTCGTGAGAAGTGCTATGCAATGCTCGGAAGCCTTGAAATTGCATGCATGGTAGAAAGTGGTGGTACTGAAGACACCATAAAAATGCATAATTCGATGCGCGAAATGGCCCTATGGATCACTTCTTCAGGGCAGGGGCAGGGGCACGGTCGATGCTTCCTAGGGAAGTCTGGCATTGGATTGAGGGAGGCACCTGTGTTTAGGAAATGGCAAGAGGAGGCAGAAAAAGTCTATCTGGTAGAAAACGATATAGAGGCTCTCCCTTTGTTGCCAGAGGAATGCGCAAGACTCGTCTCCTTGTCACTTCGAGGCAATAATCTCGTGAAGGAGATCCCACCACACCACTTCTTTGAAAGCATGAGTGCCCTTCGTGTACTCGATCTAAGCCTAACGAGTGTTACCCTCCTTGTCTCACTCGGTGAATCTCCGTGCGCTTCGTTTAAGCGGATGCTTGTATCTAGAAGAGTTGCCCCCAACAATAGGACAGCTTCCACAACTCCAATTGTTGGATCTATGAGGTTGCAATCGATTGGGAGAGCTACCTGATGGGTTGAGGAAGTTGATCGATTTGATATTTCTCGATCTGTCTGAAACATCCCAACTATTCACATTCCCGAGGGGAGCTTTATCAAAGTTAAGGAAGTTGCAGGAGTTGAATACCATGAACAGTGGATTGACATTTCATGTGGGACATGATGCCACAGGGATAAACCTTGCTGAGTTGACGAACTTAAATGCCACGAGCGTTTCAGTTGAAGGCGCGGCCACTTGGGACTGGCTCCAGGAGTGTGTTAAGACAGTAAATGACTTGAAATTAAGCGACTGCACCATCACAGAAGGTGCCTTAACCACCCTAGCCAGGGCCCCAAGCATGCGATGCCTGACCCTGCAAAGATGCAGGGATTGACAAGGGTCCCAACCAACGTCTCAAAGGGTCTTGAGCTAACAACATGTCAAGAGTTGGTGAGTGTGGTGACTGCAAAGGGGAGGGGGGCGTTCGAAAGATTAGAGGAGCTGCACCTCTATTCCCTGTCTGGGGTTGAGAGTTTATGCATTGGGGTGCCATGGAACACATGCTTTGGAAACCTGAAGACAATAAGTATAATGAGATGCCCCAGATTGCGGATACTATTCACACACGGTATGCCCCAACTCTTCAAAGGCGCTTGAAACCAAGCGTTATAACTAGTTTATCTTTTTCTTTTCCATTTTCTTTGTTGAATTGATGCAATGGATTGTCTTTTTTTTTGTTTTTGGTAATATTGTAAAAATTAGACTGGTTATTTTTACATTGGACGTGATAGTTCAAAAGACTGGTTATTTTTACTTAATCAAAGTCATTTTAATTCCCCTCTTATATAAATGAAGGAAAAAATTTATATAGGGCCGAGGCTCTAAACAATCAAATTAGAGCCCACCTCAAAAATTTCACTAGAAGAGGTTGTTTTGATGTTCAAATATCCTAAAATTGATCATCTCGACATCAAGATGGATGGACAACAGAAAAAATTAATAGGGTGTGATAGCAAACGTTGGCTGCATGAATGTGATATCAATCACATTTCCTTATGTTTTAAGTGACTTCTATTTTTGACTTAATCAAAGTTTATCAAAGTTATTTTTAATTGTGTATTATATAAATTAATGGGAGAGTTACCTGCCCCAAAATTAAAAGAAAAGATGGCATGGCTTCTCCGTTTCAAAATTTTTTAAGTGAATTCTATTTTTACTTAATCAAAGTCATTTTTAATTCCCTTTTATATAAATGAAGGAAAAAGTTTATATAGAGCCGAGGCTCTATAACAATCAAATTAGAGCCCACATCAAAATTTTTACTAGAAGAGGTTGTTTTGATGCCCAAGTATCCTAAATTTGATCATCTCGACATCAAGATGGATGGACAAAAGAAGAAAGTAGATTTCGAGTTTTAAAAATATTGCATCTTGTAACGTAATTTTGCACCGTCAATTTTTAAGATTTTTAAGTTTTTATAGATCTGCTCGATCTACACTATTTTTGAAGCTTTAAATTTTATAATTAAAGATGAAAATATATTTTAAAGCTATCACAAAGATTTTCAGTATTGAAAACATACTTCTCGACACTAATTGAAAGTGCGCTTTACTTTGATTGTTTAGAGCCTCGGCTCAATACAAAACACACCCTTGAATAAGTAAGTTGCAAGCGTGGCCAGTTGGACATGATCCGCAAGGGGCGGCTTTGGAAAGATGGAATTGCCTGTCTAGGTAGTTGCTTGCTGTTGCTTTTTTTAGAGTCATTAACGCGTGGACTCTAAAATTTCTGGTAAAATACGGAATGTTTCACTTAATATGGTGATATTGGTTGATGTGTCTTCGGATCAAAGCTTATCAACTGTTCAACACGTGATTGGAGAACGGTTGGGCTTGAAGCTCTCAGGTACACGATTCAGACCGTGAGAGGGAAATTCTTAGGATGCGTTTTCTGCTGATCTTGGATGGTGTGTGGGACAAATTGAAAATTGAAGATGTGGGGATTCCTCTTCCAACAGATGAGAATGGTTGTAAAATTCTATTAACAGCACGAACATCAAGTTTGTGTAATGAAATGAGCGATTCCTCTTCCAACAGTTAAGAATGGTTGTAAAATTCTATTGACAGCACGAACATCAAGTTTGGGCAATGAAATGAACGCCACCCACTCTACTCAGTTGAAGTGAAAACGTTGTCACCAGAAGAAGCATGGAGTCTGTTCGTTGATAAGCTCGGCCAATATATTTCACTTCCACCTATAGAATCCTATGCCAGAACTGTTCTCAACGAGTGCGAGGGATTGCCCTTGGCCATCATTGCTGTCACAGTAGCAGCGGCGAAGCATAAGACGTACAAGGATTGGGAGCGTGCTGCAAATGACTTGGAGCAGTCAGTCTCAAGTCTCAAAGGTATGGAGAAGAAAGTGTTTGGCATCCTCAACTATAATTATGATAAATTAGATGACAAAGCCCTGAAGCACTGCTTCTTGTATTGTGCTCTATATCCTCAACATTATTTACCAGGAGAAGAGGAACTTTTAAATTATTGTATCGAGGAAGGATTAGTAGGTAAGAATCTCAAAGATGCTCGTTCTATTTTCATGGGTCACCTTAAAACAACGGGCATGCTTGAAACTGGTGATCGTGAAAATACGGTCAGAATGCACGACATGATGCGTGAATTGGCCCTGTGGATCACATTCAATGGATCGCAGGATAACCCTATGTTCTTAGTGCACTCCCGTGCTGGATTAGTAATGGGACCAGATGCACAAAAAGTTTCCTTGATGGGGAATAACGTAGAGGCTTTACCTGAATTGAAAGCGTGCCCGAAGCTCCGCACTCTGTTTTAGAGTGCTTCAAGGCAATGATTCCCTGGATGAAGTCCCACGGAGAAATTTCTTTAAGCATATGACAGCTCTTCGTGTACTCGATCTGAGTGGCACGAGGTTGGAAACCCTCATCAAACATCTTGTCACAACTGGTGGACCTCTGCATTCTTTGTAGAAGTGGATGCCGCTTCCTTAGAGGATTGCCTTCAGATTTGAGAAATCTCAAAAAACGCCAAATACTGGACCTTAGTGGGTGTGATGTGATCAAAGAGCTTCCCGTGGTTGTTGGGGAGTTGGCCAATTTGAGATGTGCTTCTGGTATCTACAGAATCCCACCTGAGATACTGTCCAAGTTGCGCATGTTGGAGCAGCTGGTTTTGATGGATAACAATCTGAAATGGCACATTGGAGGGACTGGACAAGGGGGGGGAGGGGCGAGCACAAAAGAGTTGACACGGTTAAGCCACTTAACTTCTATTGACATTTCTTTAACAGATGTAGACATCTCCCACTGGCTTAAGTTGCTAGCTAGCAGGACAAGGGACAATGTAACGAATTATGCGTTAGATCTCTTAGAAGGGGCCATGAACCTGCAGCATTTGTCGATCTTCTTGTGCACAGGTATGATACACGCCCCCACTCGTTGCTTGGAATCTCTTGGGATTGACAATTGTGGAGATTTGGAGCATTTGAAGGTTGGAACTCAGGCCAAAGAGGACGCGTTTCAAAGGCTCGCAGTGTTGCACCTCTCTCTGTTGCCTAATCTAAAAAGAGTTTGTACAGGTGTGCGACCAAGTAGGTGCTTTGGAGTTCTGAGGACGATAGATATAGAGAAGTGCCCAGAATTGCAGATTCTCTTCACAAAGGGCATTGCGCAAAACCTTGTGAGTTTGGAAGAAATAAAAGTCTTAAATTGCGAGGGAATGGAGGAGATGATAGAGGATAAGGAGATTGGAGATTGGAGTTCATGTCATCCCAAAACTGAGGAGAATACTGCTATTCAGCCTGCCTGAACTGACTGCGATATGCCACCATGTCTTGAACTTGCCATCCTTGGAAGAGGTAAACATATGGGAATGCCCAAAGCTAAAGAAGCTCCCTCTTGGTGTTCGTAACCCAAATGAGCTGCTGAAGATTGAAGTAGAGAGACAGTGGTGGCAAGTTTTGGAGTGGAAAGATCATAACATCATGTTTCTTCTCAAATCGAACTTTGTCAAGTTCAAAACTGAACAGTAGTGGGGCTTGGATCACCAGGTAATTTGCTGAGTGATGGCAATGACTCCAAGGCTCGTAACCTCTTTCTTCTTCATTTTAATTTCATGGGGGTGATTGCATTCTAATCTACCGTTTGCATGGGAAATGCATCTTCAACTGTTCTCCTTGAAAATGGCCGGTTTAGGTCGCACTTACCAGACCTTGTATGGTAAATGCAACCCATGTTTCGTTTCTACGAATTGAACTACTTTATGGTCCTTGCTTTTTTTTCCCAAACCGCTGGCACTCAGGTATATTTCAAAGTTTCAGTTTAGTCGCCGGTGTTTTCTTGTTACCTAGTTTGCCTTGTTTCTTATCTGATCTTAATTTGCCCACAGTTCTTTTGATCAACATTCAAATAGCCCATCAATAGACACATCAAGATGAGTTTTGAAATTGATCAAATTCACCTCAGGTAAAATGTTATATAGTTCAAATGCGAGATGTATTTTCATAAACTTTCCAATAATAAATCTTAAATTAACCATTTGTGCTTATAGTATCACTTTACATTAAAATGCCATTTTTTAATTCTAACAATTGTTTCTAACTCACAATATAATAATTAAAATTAGAATTTAACAAAGTCTAAAATTAGTATTTCCACCAATAGCTCTCTCTTTAACTATATCTATTTTTTGCAATTGCAATATCATTCTATCTCTTTCTAGACACATCTTTTCCATCTCTAATCATGTCCATATTTCTTCCTTACAATAAATTGATAGAACTGTGTTCTGGATATATCTTATTAAAAATGTATTCCTATAATATTCTAAAGCAACTTGTGACCATATCCTACATCCATGAATTAGGCGCCCAACCATATATAGCTAATCTACTTGCTACGATTTTAATTAAAATATAGATTTTTGCAGTAATATTAAGTAAACTACTATTTAAAACAGTGCAATGCGACATTTATGAGGACAGCATGTGCCGTCTCACATATCCCTCATGTTTCCGGTAGCAGCAACCACCAATGCTTGATTTTTAGCCTGAGCTTAAGCTCTACGCTGAAGCCAAGCACGAACAAATGCCCAACCCTAGATTTCCCAAACCCACCACCAAAGGTTTGAAGAATGGAGTTGAAGAGAGTGCTCATGGGCCTATTACTCCCTCTACTGAGGGTTAGCTTCTCACAAGCATGTATTAGGCTTTACTTGAGGTGAGCCTGAAAGTAGAGGGATTAAAAGGGGGCATTTGAGGGCAAGAGGAGCAAAATCAGAACAGAGGTAACAAGAACATGACAGTTCAAATTTCAGGTTCTTCTGGATAATAATTTGTCGATGAAAAATCATAGTTTTAATCTACATATGTGACAAATGTACTCTTTAACTTAAAATGAGAGCTGGTTAATTGCTTATTCTCTCATTGGGAATTGGCGTTGTATACAATCAGTTCATTTACGTCTAGTACAAGGAGGTCACGATTACTTACAACCATTCAAAGTAAAATCTGATAGTTCAGGTGTGCCACAAAGTTCAAAAAAATTTATTTTGAACTTTGAGCTTGGTTAATGAAGCAAATGCAACCACCCAATTTCACGTCCAATGGTGAAGATTAATTGTAACCACCTTATACTAAAAGTAAATGATCTCTTTGTATACTTTTCCATCGTACTATCTACTTCTGTGTGTGTGTGTGTGACATACACACACATGCACACGCGCACACAGGCTATGGAATGACTATGTACTGAATTTGATAATGTGCCTTCCACTCAGTCTTAACAAATGAACTATTTCTAGTTACATCAGTCCCCTGTTTACATCCCCATATATAAACATTTTCAATGCAGTCTAATTATTTTGGAATACAAAAAAATTCATAGTCATTGCAAAATGGGAAGCCATAAAACGTTTTCAAACCTGAGTGCCATTAAAACCCAAAATACCAAACTAATGTCATATAACCATTCACTATTCTCAATTTAGACATCTACATTTGGTGCCGCCCCTATGGATTGAAACTACAGGGAAAAATAAATGAAACAAATAACAACAGTAAGAGAAACTAATCTTGTCTAACCTACCAGAAACAAATATCTGAAAATTGATATAAAAGAATACAACAGTAAATGAGTTCTGCCTGATACTAGCTGCAAAATTATCTGCTTTCTCCTGCTGCCTTTTTGAGCAAATATAGAATACTTCTTTCAAATGCAAGCTTTCTAAATCACATTACTATCCGGTTCAATGGCCGATCTCAATCCACTACGAATCATCATCTGAGAGTAATGCTCGGCGTGCTCCTGCTTGAAGAAAATCATTCACAGTCCATGCCATTAGGGGAAATTTTGAATCACTGAAAAGCTTTAATGAATCATTTTGTTTTAATTGGTATGATATTGATATGTAACTAATAATTTACCTTCACAGTTACAGTAACTAGACCAGCTCCAGTCTGTCGAGATTCATGGAAACACCTCCTCGCATCAACAGGAGTAACAGATGGTACAACTTTTGGCAACACGGTTTCGACTGCAAAGAAATCATAAATCACGCTTGCAAGATATGACAAATAGAGAGAGAGAGAGCAGAAGTTCTGGATTTCGAATATAGAGTTTGCTTTTTTCAGTAGCTTTTATACTATGGATCTGATGAAGGCACAGAGAAGATTCATTCACTCACCTTGCTTTTCAGTATGGCGTTCATGATCAAGCAGCAGTACTCTGTAACTATCTCCACTCCCTGGACCTTTTTTATCACAAAGCCTCCCCATCTCTCCTCCTGCAAATCATCTCAGATGCAGTTCACTCTGTTAATTGATTCAGGATTACCTCCTTAATCTATGGTGTGTAGTAGTAATGCACAGTTTGAATTCAAATTCCATCAAATGGTGTTTTATTTCAAATTGTATTTTACCAAAAGGTAAATTGGTCAAATATCATTTCACGTCTACGGGTGTTTGATTGTTTTTATATGAATTGTAATTTGTTAATGTGTGGTGTGATAGAGGATGGTAGTAGTGTGGTGCTGCGGTGGTGGAGGCGGCGGTGGACAGAGCAGGGTGGTGGTGGTGGTGGGGGACAGGCGGCATGGTGGTGGTGTAATAATCGTGCCATGATGGTGGAGGTAGCAGCAAACTGGTGGTGGTAGCTAGGCAATGGTGGCGGAGTGGTGGTAATGGCGGCTATAGGGCCGATAGTGGTGGCATGGTGGTGGAGGAAGAGAGAGAATTTGGGTTTTGAAAAACAACTCCAAATTGTTTTTGCAAAAAAATCCAATTTCGAAGCCCAAACTACCACTCGGAATCAAAACACATTAAAAACCACCCTTTGATGAGATCAAATTGCAACAGTTTAAATGCACATATATCCCATATTCAAATGCCTAAATTCAAGATTTGAAACTATCGTTTTCTCTAAGTAAAAGGAGAATTTGAGGCAAGAAAGCAGAAAGTGGTTGGATTCCAGGAAAATTATTTACCTTCTTCAACACTGAGAGAAGGATCAAACTGTGACTGGTCGAATGTTGGGCGCTCCAAGAGGACTGCTCCTCCTTTGCTTGATCCAAACCTCCCACTAATCTTCATTGCTGCAAAAGTTTTTGGGCTTTTCTCCACAAGCAGAGGAAACACAGATGTTGGGGTACGAGTAAATGATGTTTTAGAATAAGAAACAAAAGATACAGGAACTGGCACATTGTTAAGGGCCATCTCGATATTAGGAATAGCCTTCAGAGCAGAGGAAGAGAGAAAAAACCACTGATCTATTATACAATATCAAAAGAAAACTCAAATGAAATACTCAATGGCTTTGAAGACTAAGGCAGAGAGAGAATAAAGAGATAAAAAGCACAAATGGAGTGCTCAGTGGCTTTGAAGACTAAGGTAGAGAGAGAAAGTAGAGAGATACAAGATAAATTATGGATTCAGGGTTTAAGTAGCAAAGATGGATGGGCTTTGAAGACTGAGGGTTTAACTGTTTAAGGTAGAGAGAGAAACTTCTAGAACAAAACTAGCAGCCTCTCTTGCACAAGATTTATCACCGGTGTTCGTGGTCCGTATTGGATGCGTAATCAGGGGGTGCAATTTTGTCTGTTTCAAAAGGAATATACGATGCACGGACGAGACATCCACCATTCATTCTTAGGATAGATGGTGGGGATGAATACTCACCAAAGAAAGTTGTATGTGCAAATTTAAGGAGAAGATTACAAGAAAAATGAGAGAAATTTCTCCTACTCGATTTTCAATTTGAAGAAATCTGGTAAATAAATATAAAAAATGGGTAAGCTTTAAAATTCTGTGATAACGAGTGTCTGGTGACAAAAATCTTTGTCCCTTAGCGAGAGAAAAATGTGACTAGCACAAGGCTGAATTATATCACCCTTTTACATAGTGAGAATATGTCAATTAGGTAGAGAGAGAGAGAGAGAGTTCCAGCTGCGTGCTAGAGAACTTAGTGAGAGAAATTCAATAAAGCTGTGTTAGTGAATCTAGAGAGAGAAAATGGATTGGGTGGTGTGTGTGTGTGTGTGTGTGTGTGAGAGAGAGAGAAGAGAGAGAGAGAGAGAGAGAGCATTTCAACTGGGTGGTAGACAACTTTGTAAGAGAAATTCAATTAAGCTGTGTTAGTGAATTGAATTCAAACAAAAAAAAAGCTAGGTTAGTGAATCTAGAGAGAGAAAATGTGTTGGGTGGCATCACTGCCATGGACCAGGGACCTCAATTGCAAGTCCAGCCCATGCACCACCAAGAAAATCTCCTCCATTAGAGAGTGTGATCTCTCCCCTGCCACAAACTCGTGAACAACTCCATCCACCTCTACCAAACTACAACCAGGAGTCTTCTTTATCCTGTTCTCTTCCATTCTTTTTCTCACCTTTGAAACATCTTCCCACCTATTAGCTGAAGCGTAAATATTTGACAAAAGCACATGAACCCCACCATGATCAAGCCTCAACTCACTTAACTTTTTAGCCATTTCCTCACCCACTGTGACATTTCCATGCATTTTAGAAGCACCGAGCAATGCTCCCAATACATAGGCATCAGACTCCATGGGCATGCTTCTAATGACATCCATGGCATCATCGATGAGCCCCGCTCTCCCATACATATCGACCATACACCCGTAGTGCTCAACGCCTGGTTCGATGCCATGAGCTTGGCTCATGGCCTCGAAGAAAGCTCGCCCTTCTCTCACTAGACCGGCTCGGCTACATGCATTAAGCACCGCTATATAGGTTACCTCATTGGGCTTCACCCCACTTCGCTGCATCTCTCGAAAAGCCTCGATCGCTTGAATGCCATGCCCGTGCATGGCGAGACCCGATAACATGGCGGTCCAAGCATAAACATCTCTTTCAACCATTTCGCTGAAGACCTGTAAAGAGGTCTCTATGAACCCACATTTCGCGTACATGTCCACTAATGCAGTGCCCAGTATTCGATCGAGGCTAATCCCATGCTTCCTCACATATGCATGAATCCATCTCCCTTGCTCTAAGGCCCCCAATTGAGCACAACCTGATAAAACACCCACCATTATTGCATTGCTCAGAGGAATTCTATTGATTTGCATCTCATTGAATAGTTCTAAGGCCTCTTTGGCGCACCCACTTTGAGCATAGCATGAAATCATGGCACTCCATGAAACTATGTTTTTCTCGGGCATTTCATCGAAAATCTTCTGTGCTTCGTCGACTCGGCCCACTTTTGTGTAACCACTGAGCATTGCAGTCCATGAAATCACATCTCTGTGAGGAATTTCTTCAAATACCTTGTGTGCTTCATAGATACAATTGCAGGCACCATACATATGAATCAACCCATTGTACACAAAATCATACAAGACCCATCCAATTTTTATGATTTGGCCATGGACTGTGGCCCCAGTTTTGGGTGAAGAAAGCTGAATCAGAGCTCTGATGATGAAAGAGAAAGTGTAGTTGTTGGGGTGGTGGCCTTGTTGGAGGAGGCATTTGTAGAGAGAGAAAGCTTCCTCATTGAATTCTCTCTCTACACAACTTCTGATCATTGTGTTCCACATGAACATTGTGGGGCGTGAGATGGCGTGGAGCAGAGTGTGAGCGTAGCTCAGGTCACCATTTTTAGAGAGAGAACAAAAGGCTATGATTTTAGAGAGAGAAAATGGGTCCTGTGCAGTTCCTGTGATGATAAGATTGGCGTGGATTTGCTTGACCTGTTTCATGGTGAGACCTTGTTCGAGGAGAGAGAGAGACCTTTGGCTTGATTTGAGTTTTCTTGTTATTGTGTTGATCATGAGCAGGATGACTTCATCAGAGCACAAAATCTCCTGGATGATTTCATCAGAGCACAAAATCTCCTTACTTAGCTGCGTGCTCCTGTATTGAGTTGCACGCCCGTAGTGAATATTGTGGTCCTGCTGGAGCACAGAATGTTAAATCTTTAAATCTTTTGACTTTTCCCTCCTAAAACTAAAGCAATTCTCGGCCTCACCCCGGCCTTTCAAATTGTGGATTAATGATGAGGGGAGACACTTTTTCCACCATTTTTGTCCTAAATCCTCCGCCTCTAATGGCGATCTTCTCTTGCAGAGCCACTCTCTTCAAGACCTCGCCAATTTTCAACCACAAAACATGCCCTAATCTCTCCATTTTCAGGGGCTTAGCTGCCAATGCTCAGCAACAGAAAAATAAATGGATCCCAACATTAGGGTTTTCAAGGACACGGATCCCTGCTTTGAATTTTCAGAATCGGATCCAACGGAGCTCTGTAACAAAAAATGAGGCTTCGGCTTTGCGCTCTGAGAAGGCAGAGGGTTTCATAGTAGTGAATTTTTATCGCTTTGTTTGCATTGAGAATCCAGAAGAGGAGGTGACAAGGCATCGTTTATTCTTGCAGGTTCTTGTTGATATCATCTTATTCGTTTTAAAGACTTGTGTTTATTGAAGTATTTGCCGATAAATTGATTTAGATGGCGTATGATTGTGTGCTATTTCAATTACATTATTATTAGTTCTTTTTATCTTCTTCTGTTGTTTCTCTTTATACTAAACTTGTGAATTGAGCAACTTTGTATGTACCATGTACTTATATTGCAATCTTTGAGCTTGGACTCGGTGAATTTTTACATCTAAAGATATTTTGAATGATTTTTCACCTTAACTTTTTGAGGATATTTGGTTTTATGTGTAACTGCGAGCTACTGATTTGACATGAGAGGGAGGGAGGGAAAGAGGGAGAGAGAGATGGTTTTTCATTCCCTTAATAGACATCATAAACAACCAGCGCATAGTTATGTGCTTCATAGTTTGCACTTTGGTGATGAAAAGATTTATCAAGCCTGACATTTAAACTTTTTGCATTTTTTCAATTTTTGTTTGAAACAGCTTATAAAATGTTTGTTTCACCTTGGGGTACGCTTTGTTAATGGAGAGTTGTCACCTGATTTTACTGTGTTAATAATTTTGAGATGCATTTTGACATAATTTCTAAGATCACACAGTTTTCCAGGGCCGTGATATACAAGGTCGGATATATCTAAATGAACAGGGCATCAATGCACAGGTATGTTTACTGGTTCCTTGAATTATTGGATTGCAGAGTTTATGTTTGATGAATTTGTTCTTGCTCTTGATAATTTCCTATATTGCAATATGCTTGTAGTTAGCTTTGTGATGGTGATGCGAAAAGTTCAGAGGGATGTTCCTATTTAACCGGTTTTTCCATAGATGGTAGGCTAGACCCAATTTGCAGGGAATTCTAAGCACCCTAGCGTAGAATTGATGAGGAGTTGTTTAGCTGAACGTTCTAGAATTTCTCTGTGATTCATTGGGATATATGAGCGCAGTAAGGATCAGCATTAGGTGATTGATATCCTCAAATGTATTGTGCTTAACTAACAGATAATTATTATACCTTAGAAGGACATAAGTTTCTCCCATGATGTACTTTTGAAGTTCATTCTAGTTGGCCAATCATGTAAAGATTGCAAGGTTATCCCTGGAGAACATTTAATCATGCAACATAGGCTTGTGATTATGGATGTCTGCCTAAAGAAATGGAAGAGAATGAGTGAAACTAATCGGTATTCAAGAACTAGGTGGTAGAATTTTAAAAAGGAGAACATACAGTTATTTATGGATAAATTGGAAAGAAAAAGGAAAATAGGATTGTGAGCATGAAATTAATGTTATGTGGAATAAGATAGTCGACTATATTAAGAAAGTGGCAAAAGAAGTTCTAGGAGAAACTAAAGGGAAAACAATTTTTGACAAAGAAACCTGTGATAGGGTGAGAAGGATCAAAAGGCTATTAGTGAAAAATGATCATGTTATAAAGCTTGACAATGTAATTGAAATGATCAAAACTTAGAAGCTTATAAAAATGCCAAAAAGAACGCTAAGAAAATAGTAAGGCTAACTTAAAGCGTATGATAATCTATACAATAAACTTGAGATAAGAGAAGCTGAAAAAGATGTCTTCAAAGTAGCAAAAATGAAAGAGGAAGTGTAGGGATCTATCTCACATTAGATGCATTAAGAGTGAAGATCAGAGGACCATGGTGAAAGATGATGAATGCAAGGTGGAGAATTTATTTTCAAAAATTGTTAAATGATGAACACTACGAGAGCACAACGTTAGGAGTAACCTTTGACATAAATAAAGGTAGGGTCATAATTGCATTCACAGGATTAGGATATCTAAAGTGTAAAAAGCTTTGAGAAAGATAAAGATAGGAAACGATTTAGGACCAATTGGTATCCCGATAGAGGTTTGGAAGTGCATAGGGGAGATTGGTATACGTTAGCTTGACAAGCTGTTCAACAAGGTATTGAGAATAAGGAAAATCCCAGACAAATGGAGAAAAAGTATTTGGTACTTATTTACAAGAATAAAGAAGACATACAGAGTTATACGAACTATCCAAAGATTAAACTTATGAGCCACCCTATGAAGCTATGGGAGAGAGCGGTTAAGCAACAACTACGGTGTGAAACTAGTGTATCAGAAAATTAGTTCAGTCTTATGCTGGGGAGGTCAACCATCGAAGCCATTTTCCTACTTAGACAACTAAATGAGAACTTTAGGGCGAAGGGAAAAGACCTCTGCATGGTCTTTATACATGTAGAGAAAGCATATAATAGGGTACCTAGAGATTTAATTTGGTAGGTGTTGGAAAAGAAAGGAATCACCAAAGCTATAATGACATAATAAGAGATATATATGAGGGAGCCGCTAACTAGTCTGTGGGCAACTTGTGGAAAGACAAGTGAGTTCTCAATGATAATCGGCCTACATTAGGGGTCAATGTTGAGCCCATATCTCTTTCTTTTAGTTATGGTCGAGTTAACTAAGCACCTTCAAGATGAGGTATCGTGGTGTATGTTGTTTGCGGATGACATAGTTTTGTTTGATAAGACTAGAGGCGGCGTCAATGCAAAGTTAGAATTTTTTATGGATGTTCTGGAATATAAAAGTTTTAAAATTAGCCAAACTAAGAAAAAATATATAAAATGCAAGTGTAGCAATAATAGGAGTAGAAACAAGGAAGTAGTTATGATTGAAGATCAAGAAATATCTAAAAGAGACTATTTCCTATATTTAGGGTCGATAATCCAGAAGAATGGAAAGATTAAGGAGGATGTCACACATAGGATAAGAGCTGCGTAGGTGAAGTGGAATGTGCATACGGAGTTTTATGTGATCACCGCATACTGTTGAGACTAAAGGGGAAGTTCTATAAGACGACTGCAAGACTAACCATACTTTATGGGATGGAATATTGGGTAGTTAAACAATATCATATTCATGAGATGAGCATAGCTGAGATATGGATGTTAAGATGGATGAGTGGAAAGACAAAAAATGATAGAATTCATAATGAATATATACGAGAGAATTTAGGTGTGGCTTCAATAGGCGATGAAATGGGGGAAGGTAGATTTAGGTTGGATGGTCATGTGCAGCGTAGACCTACTACAACACAAGTTAGGACGTGTGATTTGGTTCAAGTGGAAGGCTCTAAAAGGCCAAGGGGAAGGCCCAAAAGGATATGGATAAAAGTAGTGAGAAAAGATATGGCGACTTTTGGTCTTACTGAGGGTATGACCCTTGATAGAGGAAAATAGAGGACCATGATTCATGTAGCCAACCCCAAATCATTGGGATGAGGCTAAGATGATGATGATGGTGATGATGATGTCGAAGAACTTGAGCTTTGATCTTACTGAATAAGCATACCAAATTAGAATATTTGGATACTAACCTTTTGCATAATGAAGTGGCAAGCCTCCTTAGGCTTAATGAAATACTTCATTAATTTATACATAACTGATAACTTGAAATGATATAGCCATCTAGTACTACCAACAAATGAAACAAGATATGGCAATCTATTACTTTTCTAATATTGTGGCATGTGAGTGACCTTAATAATTTAGGAGCACTATCAAAAGTCCTTAATATTGTGATATTCAGATAGCGATTGTTTGAGGTGGTAACTCTATCTTCACATTGATCATAAAAGGAATGCACAAATGGGAGGCTTACCTTAAAACAACTAGAGCATGTTGCTCTAGGGGACGTCTCACTGCTGCCTGCTGATAGAGCTCTCCATAGTTATCAATCTTGCATATATAAATACAGAATAGGCTTATTTAACAAATTAAGCACTTCCATTTGGCCATGACTCCTTGGAGATGACTTTTCTACAAACTTCCAAAAAAAATTCTCATCCAAGAAGCCCAATAATAGCCCTAGAGAAAATTTACCTTCACATTGATCTCTTTGATAGTCAATTTTAGAAATTATGCAATTCACTACGAAATGGTAGCAGCTGGTCAACTGTCATGGATTTCTTTCTTGCTCATACTCAAACTTTAGGTTTCTATTTCTGAAATCTCCTGCATCTCTGTTTTAACAAAATCCTAGTTTTTCTCTATTGAAGCTCTCCTTTGCTTGGAACCCTTGGGTGCACCATCATATTTGAGAATCTTCACTTTGTGCTATTTAAGATATGCGGTGCAACCTGGGTGCCCTAAAGTTAAGTAGCAGCTATAGGCATGTACCATTCAATCCTTCTTATTTTCATTACCAATTGCTTCGATGTTTTGCAAGTTCTATTGTATTTCATTTATATTTCAACTTTGGTTTTTAGATTATTAGATGTTTCTCTTGTTCTTGAGAATTAAATTCATCAAGTTGATGCTGTATTTTGTCACTTTTTGACATCAGAGGACCAACTCATGTGCAGTACAGTGGTCCATCAGAAGATGCATTGGCGTACGTTGAGTGGTTAAAAGATGACAGTCGTTTTTCTGATATCTTAGTCCAAACCTCACCAGCTATGAATGGACATGCTTTTCCTCAACTGAAACTGCGGTATAAACCCTCACTAGTACAGGCAAGCAATACGTGCTTTCTTGAGCATGTTTTATTTTTCAGTATTTTACAACAATGCAAAACCATGCAGTTCCTAGCCTCATTTTTGTTCGTACATGTAGTGCTTGGTTTGGAATTGCTTTCTTTCAACGATTGCAAATAGATGCATACAAAACCAGAATTTGTTAATATTCCTAATAAAAGTTGAATTTTTCCATTTTACGTGGTGTTGTATTCTTTGCCTTGGACTATTGTAAAATTTAAGAACTTTTTACTTTTTGTTCTTAACATTTAACTGTATCCTATGAAATGGTTTGTCTTTTTAAATGCTTTTTTTTTTCAACTCAGATGGAAGGTGGCATTTCACATCTTCCTTTGGTTAACCCTGCAATGAGAGCTATCCCATTATCACCATCTGAATGGAGAAACCGATTGGATTCTTTGAAAAATGTGGAAGGATCATCTTCTAGAGAAGATACTGGCTCGGATCAGAAGAGCGTCCTGCTTCTGGATGTGAGGAATGGTAATCCTTAGTCTGATATTTCTTCAATCTCTAAACTGCTTTTGATTGTTTTGTACTTTTGTGTCATTTGGTTGTGGATTTTGTAGCCCTTCAAAATAGAGAACTGACTTTTGTCTTGTGATTGCTTTTGTTGTGCCCTCCAAAATCATCTGTTTTGGCACACATTGTTGGTCATTTGATATTTTGAGTATCTCTGGTAGGATGGTATTTCATATAGGTGGTATTATGGTATTTCATATAAGTGGTATTATGGTAATTTCATTTAAGTGGGATGAAATATTGTTTCTGTTGTCACGAGCAATGTTCAGTGTGGTGCCTATATGACTTCGTTAAGGAATATGTGTCACAACTTGTAAGTTTTGGATCTGGACATGCTATATTTGTTTGATGGGAAATCTTTGTGTTTTTGTACTGTCTTCAGAGCATCACTTGCTATGGATATTAACCAATGTTTCTAATGTACAACAATTTTCTTTTAAAGGCTATGAGTGGGATATTGGCCATTTCCATGGTACTCAACGACCTGATGTTAATTGCTTCAGGAGCACTTTGTTTGGACTCACAGATATGGAGGTATTGTTTCAATCAACTGATGTTTCTGATATAATAGAGTTGGAGATCCCCTATTTCCATTATCTTCCTTAATTTGTTAATACTAACTGTTTCTGGCCACAGTTTCTTCTTTTTGGACCTTTCATCTGTTAATAGTCACTCTTTGCATGTCCCTTTACCAATGCCATGAAGTCTCTGATCTTTAGAATGAAACCTATCTTACCAGCTGGACTATATTTCTAACATTAATGGGTTTTTCTTTTTCTATCATTGTGGGTTTTAGGTCTGATTCACAGTCTGGCAGTTGGACCTGTGAGTTTGGTCTAGTCTTGATAATGTTATCCATTCTAACATTTTCTAAATAACATAACCAGTTTTTTTTGTTCGGGTTTTTCTGACCTATGATGTTAATTCCTATATGGTAAAAACAGGTCTTTCTTTTGGGATCGTGAGTGGTATTTGATACATCCACCTCATGTTAATCCTTACTGTGGTCTTAGAAGTTTACCTGGCATCATTCATATACTATTCTAAAGTTTAATTAGTTATATGTTATCTGTTTTTATATATTTTGGATTTTCATTCTATTTGAAGGGAAATTGACATGGTGGCTGATAGATTTGTAGGAGTAACATGAGGCAAAGATCATTGGTGGTTTGTTTTGTCTGTTGAATTTATACCTTATAGAGTTTTTCTATGCTTCATATGCATGTCATTGGTCCATAGAACTTGTTGTGACCATTTTTTCAGGATATCTGGCTACGCATTTACCAAAACAGGATATCTGACTATGAGTTTCCTGCTCTTATGTTTTTTTCCTTTTCATCATCAGGTTAGTCCTTCAGATCCTTTGGCTGGCATTGATAGGGAAGCTACAGATATTTTGATGTATTGTACGGGAGGTATCCGCTGCGATGTTTATTCTACCATGCTTAGGTAAGGTCACCTTTGCCCATGGATCTGACATGTTGAAGTTTTTTAGTTTTCGTTTTTCTTAGCAAAACATGGTCTAGATCTCTTGTCACTTCTATAAATTCTAAGAATGCTTTAAACACATCAAAGAGTATAAAATAATCTATAAATTTCTCATGGCTTTAAAAATGCAGGAAGTAATTCTAGAACAAATACATCATTGCTCCATAACACTGATTAACATTCAACTATACATCAGTGCCTTTTAAATAAGTCAAATGTGCACATTGATTTGTTTTTTATTTATTAGATTTTGAAGGAAGCTAGGTTGGTCTAAGAAGGGTGTTGACTTTAAACTTTCTCTTAACCCGTCCCATGCCCGGGTATAGGGGCTGGGTTGTGTTAGTTAGGCAGCCAATGTAAAATTTTGTCAAAGCTTATCATGAATCCTGAACATAGAGGGTATGGCCTTTAATAGAGCAGAATGGTGGACCAAGATTCGTGTAGCCGACCCCAATTAATTGGAAAAAGGTTATAATGATGATGATGATTTTGAAAGAAGCTAGGCCTGTTGGTGTCAATCTGTAGCTCCCGTCTTGCATGACCATATAGTCATTTTACCTTAAATACGTATTATCCAAGCTTTTCTTTCGACTGGTTTAAGTTTCTTTTGGTTTGGTGACACTGTATCAATGGCAGGCAAAGGGGCTTTCAAAACTTGTACACTTTGAAAGGTGGTGTCTCACACTATCTTGAGAAAGAGGGTCCTGCAGAGTGGGTGGGAAATCTGTTTGTTTTTGACTCTCGCCTCTCTCTCCCCCCGTCAGCCTACAAGCCGGAGGCCATATCCAATGGATACAATGGAATCCCTCATCTCAACCCAACAAATGAAGGCAATAATACATTTTTGAGGTGTCGCATATGTGGATCATTCTTATCAGAATACAGGCATCGCAACTGTGCCAATCTTGACTGCAATCTTCTATTCTTGTAAGTTTGTAACTCATTGTCTTTTAAAATTTCTCTTTGTCTTTTTAAAATTTTTCATTTTAAGATAGTACACTAGCTATTAAGCCATGTGTTATTGCTTTTTATTTTTGGTCGCAACCTTTTTTTTTTCACTTGTCATTAGTGGCAATTGTTTAGTGCCATAGTTCAAGATTTTTTTTTTTTTTTTGTTTCTTTCCGGGAGATAGTTCACAATTCAAGTTTTTTTTTGGATGAAAATAGCTATAGTTGTGCAAGTACAGAAATATCTATTTAATTTAACGAGTAATAATTAAATTTCATCCGAGTTTTCAGAAATCATGAGTTTGTCTTGATATAATAGGATGTTTTTGTTTTCTTGTTTGTTCTCTGATCACATGTGCCTTTTTGAAGACCTTGGCCTCCATTTCTTTTGAAATTGATCTGAAGTGCTGGTTCTTACATGTCTAAGGTCTGCAATTGCGTGGCTTTTTCTATGAGGATCTCCTGTGCAGCGGTTTGAAAAAATTCCGGGCCAATTGCTATTCTCAGAGGATTTTACGTCATTTTTGTTTTGGGGACACTTTGATTAGTTTGATTATTGAAGTTCAAATAGTTTAAAGGTAGGCTAAAAATTTCTGCATATGTAATTGTAATGCAGGACTTATACTTTTAGGTGTCGTGCTCTCTCTCTCTCTCCCTCTCTTCCCCCTTCCCCCAGGCATAATGCATTGCTTCCTTAGCGAGATGCTATAATTTTGAAATTTTTCTGCTTTGCCCAATATTCTTTAAGTTCAATCATTTGTTAGATTTTTTTCGCCCCATATGTTTCATTAGACTACTTAGCATATAATTCTTTTGACAAAAGTGTGGTTCTCATTGTAGATTTTGATGTTGAACTTATCAAGTGAGAGCTTGTTTACTGATTCATGAGTTGTCAATGCATTGTTGTTTCTTGCATGTTATGCAGATCATGTTCAGATTGTGTCAGAGAATTGAAAGGGTGTTGCTCCATGAATTGCACATCTGCACCTCGCCTTAGACCTGTTTTGCCTGGACATCGGAGGTATGAGAAGTGGCATGTCTATAGGGATGCACAATGCCCTCACAGTGCAAAGGTTTGAACTTACTTGTATTTCATTATTTACCATCCTTCCAAGAGTTCCTGATAATTGCTGTCATGAAAGTTTTGCTCCTAGAGCGAGAGAGAACAATTCTTCAACCTATCCAACTTATTCATGTTGAAAATCTAGAGTTTATGGAATAACATTTGGGAGAAGGTATGCAACCTTTAGAGGATGTTTAGTCATTGGACACTTTTTACAATATAAAAACAACATGCCATTTGGGGAAAAAAAAGCACTCAAACTAAACATCACACAAACAAGCTTACCATATATTGATGAATATAACATATTACAATAGGATAAATTAAGGGAGATGCTATGGCCAAAAAGGTCATAAGGGAGCTCCTGCTTTTTATCGGATTTGGCCATAAGGGAGCTCCTGCTATTTATCGGAGAGTTTCCAACAAATTGCATGTTTTTTTCTGGACAAATTTATATTTCTCTTTCTCTACTCTCTCCCTCTCTCTCTCACTTTTACATCTAGACAAAATACTTCTATTTATAGGGGGGTTTTCTACAAAGTTTCGACATGCCTTGGAGCCTCCTACAAATCACACATTTTTGTCGCTACAAATCCTCATATATTTTCTCTTCCTCTCATTCATACATACATCTTTTAGACAAGGGAAAAGTTTATATAGAACCGAGGCTCTAAACAATCAAATTAGAGCCTACCTCAAAAATTTCACTAGAAGAGATTGTTTTGATGCTCAAATATCCTCAAATTGATCATCTTGACATCAAGATGCATAGACATGAGAAATAAATGGATTTCAAGTTTTTGAAATAGTGT